GGGGGGGGGGGGGGGGGCGCTCAGCTACAGATGGGGAGGCTTAGCTTAACCCTTCCTTCTCCGGAACGGAGGCAGCCTGCGGAAGGACATCGGCTCACGCGGCCTGGGGCATGCTACCGGTTGCCCCTCCCCAAGAAAAGGGGAAAACCATCATTATATGTCACATTTAAATGCCAAACAGACGTCTAAATCTACCTTAGGGGAAAAATAATAACTGTCTAACATTACAAAATATCATAAAATTTATGCTATAGAAATATTTATTGAATCAGTTTTTGATAGATAAAATTGCCTTTTCAAAAATGGATATGCATCTCTTGAATCCAGTCCTCAAAAAAAGGAGAGGTCCAACTTTTGCAATTTGTCAAAGTAATAACACAAGGTTCCAGTGGGTCTTTTGTGAAAAGCTACCTGGGTCCTTGGAGGCAGCGCTGTTGGAAGCAGAGTGGGGTGAAAATTCAGAGGCATAAAAGTTTCAAAGGCTCATACTTGACTTTTTCAAAAACAAAGCAATGGACAGGATCCGTGTGACAGCGGTTGTGCTACACTTGAAGTTACAAGCTGGTTTGCACAATATGCTGACCTATGAAGTGCTTTATTTGGGTGTGACTTAGCATGAAATGCTAAACATGGTTGGCCTCATTTGTTGAGGTTTATTCAACAATCATTTAAAAATAATTTTGCAGAATGCAGCTCTAGCTGCCATGTTACCCTCAAGTCCCACCTAGAGTTGGTTGCGTGCTTTGTTCGGGGTGGTCCTGTGTTGCTTTTAAGAGCACATTACAAGCCAACATTCAAGAGATACAACTCCTTACACACCACCTTGTGAGTCTGCAAGTGGAGAAGATACCGACTAACTTCTGTTCCTCGTGCAGCTGGAGGGAGCTGGGCTGGAAAGGAAAAAGAAGACAGTTGAAGTGACATGAATCCAAGGCTTGAGAAATGGTTTTTAATATCATGTCAGCCTCATTCTCAGCAACAGGCTTAAATTTCAATAATGCAGAGGGGATTCGGGACCTGAATTTCCATGCTAGAGGTGGGCCTTTCCAAACAGATGGTTTAAGCACAGTCCCAGCCTCTTTGTTTTTAAAAAAAACATGCTGGTTGCCTTCACAATACAGGTGCCACCTTGGGCCTTAAACAGGGTACTTTTCAAAGGAAGACACTCATCCCCAGCCTCCCAGGGAATTCTGGAAGTTGAAGTCCGCCCATCTTAAAGTTGCCAAGGTGGAGAAACACTGGATTATACCAGTCATCACCTATCTGGCTGACCTTCAGGTTACAAAAGTCATCCTGGCTAGGAATGTGGGAATTGTAATCCAACACATCCAGAGGAAATCAAACTGGGGAAGGCTGCTTGAGTCTTGCTAATAAGAAACCGAAGCTGAGAAGTAGGCAAGGGGAACAGCTGATTCAAGCCAGCCAGCTTTCACTTGGATCAATTATACTATGCACAGCTGCCCTCAATTACACAATTACTGCCATTACAAATGGGATTCGTTTCTGTCCAGCTCTCCAAAAGCACACCCGATTAAATTCACCATATGCCACCCTAGCTTGGACTGTTAGGCAGCCAAGTATAAGCTCCCCACTTGAGTATCATGATTCTAGTTCTCAAGCATAGCACAGGGTCTCCCTCCAAAACAGATGCCTATGAGTCTTACCCCTGAATTCCCCTGAATAGCTGCTTCTCTGCCTCTCTGAGCTGCCAAATAAGAAGAAATCAGTTGACAGAGTTTTTCCCAGCCAGTATTTGCCTGCCCTTTCATTCTTCTTAAACAGCCGGGAAATATTTTGGTCTATGTTCTGCACTTTAATGAGAGGCAAGAGAGTTTGCAAAAACTTTACAGGTAGTCCTCACTTAATGACTGTTACAATGGCCTCAGGAAGGGTGCTTTATGGCCCATAAAGCACTTTTGGTCGTTGTAAAACATCACGCCCCACCCCCCCCACCCTGCAGTTATGTCGCCGCATTTTGGGCACTGGGCAACTGGCTTGCATTTACGACCGGTTGCCCAGCGCCCCATGATCATGTGATCACCATTTGCAATCTTCTCTGCCAGCTTCCCCAGAAAGTCGATTGGGAAGCCGGCAGGGAAGGTTGCAAGTGGAGGGGAGCTGAAAACCTTCTGCGGTCTGCAGGAACAGAACTCAAATCCTGAAGATTTGAGCTCCATTCCTCCAGCCCCATGAAGGATTTCCCTCCCATGCACGGAGGGGAGGGGAAACCTCTTGGCGATCTGTAGGAATATTTGAGAGCGAAAGAGCTGCCTGCCAGGAGGATTTCAGCTTTGCGCGGAGCTGAAATCCTTCAGCAGGCAGTTCTTTCGGTCCAATGGCTTAACAACCCGGAAGATCACTTAATGATCACAACTGGGAGTGCCCAGATTGTGGCCATTGAGCGAAGCAGTGATGTGAGCATCTCACTTAATGACTGCTTGATTGAGATTCTGGTCCCAATTGTGGTTATGTGAGGACTACCTGTGTTAGACTATTTTCGTTGGGAAGAAAAATGACTGGAAATTAAATAGAAACTCTTTGTAGCAGAACACCTGAGACTATATAACAGTGTTTTTCAAACTTGGCAACCTTAAGATGTGTGGACTTCAACTCCCAGAATTCCCCAGCCAGCATGCTGTCCACACATCTTAAGGTTGCCAAGTTTGAAAAACACTGCTAAAGAATAAAAGGCTGAAGGTCTCAGTTCTCTCCCAGCAGCTTTCTAGGTCTTCACATCCTGGTCCTGCCTCCAGCTTTGGGGTACCGGCTTAACTTCCTGGGAGTGCTTCACCAGGCATTCCCCCCGACCTCTATATGGGTTCTCACACCTTGTGCTGCCTTTCTGATGATTAAAGGATAAAAATGCAAAAGGAGAAATATTCTCAATAGCGTATCCTCCTGGCTATGTAGCACAGAAACAAGTGATAGATTATTCAGCTCTTCCCTCTTTGGCAGATAGACCAATCTCACCAGAGATAAACAAAATCAAACTTCATTTAAACAGATAAACTATAAATGTAATTCACTTTAAAAGTTAAACTCAAATTGGAAAAGATAAATGACAGAATTGTTTAGTTCTTGATGATGCAGTGGGCAACTTAAAAAGAAATTTAAAAAGGGAAATGCAATATTCCTGGAAGACCACAGGATGGAGCTGGTCTGCTTACAAATGTCATATTTTCCTATCAGTTGGGAGATGTCGCAATTTAATATTAGAGACCATAAAAAGATTATAAATAAAACTAGTATAATCATGCCCAGGCTGAAGAATATGTAAAAGCAGAATTACATATAATTCACTACCTTATACAGAAAATAAAAGACAATTTAGACAGCACCCACAATCTAGTACTAATTCCTGGCTTGACTGGTAAACTATTTCTATCAAAGTTGCAATTTTTCAAAGCAAAAATTCTTCTGGTTCATTACCTGGACTTCCTCCAGATTTGGGGGAAGATTCTGGGGGAAGATTCTTAGATGCTGCTAAGGAGATGGTAAATCCCAACTGTTGTCCAGTCTCAGTTCACAAGCTTCTCCCTTAAATCTGCAGCAGAGGGTGGGGTTCTGCACATGATCCAAAGCCATGGGGGCACATGACTGGGGGAATATGGATTGAGTGACCAAGCCTATCTGGCAAGCAGCCTATATTCAGAATGCTGTTATGATAGAAGGAAAAGAAAGAGGGTTGAGTGTTGAGCTAATACTGAAGAGACCCCCTGGGTGACTTTGGGCCACTTGTTTCTCTCAACCCAACCTACCTTGCACAGTTGTTGTGAGGAAAAAATTGGAAGGGGGGAAACTCTGTACAGTACAGTACATCAAGGAAAGCAACATATACATCCCATAAATTACCCTTTAAAATGGGTATGCAGTTTCTTCAGGCTAAAGGCAACAGGGCAACCTGGCTTGTTCCAAGAAATAGGTAATGATGGGATGATGAATTAGGCAAGGCTAGGATGAGAAATGGTATTTGAATAATTAAAGTAGTATTCTAGTTAAACAGATTAAATTAGATAATTCATCATGATTGCTTCCAATGCAATTTTCTCCTTCTGGCATATTGAAGATTGTAATTTGATGGCAGCTTTTAGAAGGAGCCAAGATTGTTTTTGGGAGGTGGGGGAGGGCAGAAGAAATCCAAGACAGCAGGTTTTGACCTCTAATGTAGAGGCTCCTGTCATAATTAAAGCACCAGAAGATAAGGTGGGCCCAACCATCTGCTCTCCGGGCATTTTATAATAACTTTTCCATATAAGCCAGCATGTGGTCTGGAGAGGAAGGCCTGAAGATGATCTCCCAGAAGAACAGCATCTCTGAAGCCAACCCCTCAAGGGCTGGGTTTCTGAGTTTTCCCTCTGAATCCTCCAGATAAATGTAGGCAGGTGGGTGTAACCCATTCCAGGAACTTGGACTCATTTGGGCAAATGCTTTAGCTAAACATCTTATTGTGTGCCCTTGTTTCACCCATTGTTTCTTTTTGCTTGCTATTTAAGAGCTACAGGATATTTCTTATTGCCCTTAAGCGACCTCTCCCTTCTCAGTCCACCAAAATAGGCTCCAAGTAGAGTTATGGTTTAGAAAGCAAAACCCTCCAAGTCTTTCTGCTCTGGGGACTATGAGTAACAGTAGTTTAGGCAGGACAATATT